CAGCCTCTCTCTCCATGGCATGCCTTTCCATAATGTTGATATATTCCTTTCAATGTGAGCCCCATCAAGACAGAAATATGTATAGGAAAATAGTAGAGAAGGGCACATTTTCTAGGGCTGTCTTCCGACCCTGCCCCACCCACACTCACTCACCTGTGACGCCCACGGCAGACACCGGGCCCACGCGCTGCCCCTCGTGGAGGCCGTACAGGTGCATCTTGTACTTGCGTCCGGGCTCCAGGCCCCCCACGGTGACCTCACTCTCCTCGCCCCCGACACGCACCACCTGGGGCCGCCCGTCCCTGTCCTTGTACTGCACGGTGAAGGAGTCGAAGTGGCCCTGGGGGACGGTCCAGGCGAGGCTCAGCGAGTCAGGGGAGGATCCTGTCACTGTCAGCTCCCCCAGGAGCGGCCCCTCGGGGGGCTCTGGGGCCTCTGTGCCTGGTTCTGTGGGGCTGGGGGTCTCATCCACATCCTCTCCTGGGGCTGAAAGATAATATAGGGGAATACAGGGTTTAAGGGTTTAAGGGTTTAAGGGCGACTTGCTTTGCCAGTGCTGTCAACAGAGGTCATACATCAAATGCACCCCTCCAGAGCAGGCTGAGGGCTGGGGCAGCTTTGTGTTGGTCATTTAGCGACTCTTGGAACAAGAGCCGGTGAGGTATCCCCGAGCCCCGGGCCTGTACTGCTGGCAGAGCTGCACTGTTACAAACCTCCAGAAGGCAACTGAGACATAGTGTCAGGAGCCAAAGTAATTCTCATTTCCTTTGACCCAATAATCCCAGTTCTGGGCATCTATCCTAAGAAAATTATTAAAGCAGGAAAAAGTTATAGCATGGAAGAATTCATGATGGGATTATTCATGACCGCAAATGTGTCAGGAACACAAATGACCCATAGAAGAGGATTAATTCTGTTAGAGTTTTCACCACCACACATCAAACAACCATTGAAACGATGATTAATGCTGGTTGTGTCGCCGCAAGGTGAATGATTACAATGTACTTGTGTACAAAAAAGGAAGAGCCAAGAGTTTTATGAACACTGATGGCAACTTTAAAACACGCTCTGCATGCAAAATGCAGAAAGGAAATGTGCACTACACACATTGTTATTAATGCCGCCAGCTGGGGGAGAAAGCAGGACTATGAGATTCTGTTTTTCTGTTTTTCAGGCTTTCCACATAGTGTTGCTATATTATTTTCACTAGAAAAATGTAGGCTAAAAAAGAAATTCTGGGCCGGGAGCCGTGGTTCATGCTTGTAATCCTAGCATTTTGGGAGGCCGAGGCGGGTGGATCACCTGAGGTCGGGAATTCGAGCCCAGCCTGGCCAACGTCATGAAACCCTGTCTCTACTAAACATACAAAAATTAGCCAGGCGTGGTGGCATGCACCTGTAGTCCCAGCTACTCAGGAGGCTGAGGCAGGAGAATCGCTTGAACCCGGGAAGCAGAGGTTGCAGTGAGCTGAGATCACACCACTGCACTCCAGCCTGGGCAATACAGTGAGACTTGGTCTCAAAAAAAAAAGAAAGAAAGAAAGAAATTCTGGGCTACAACAATTAATAATCGAGTGTGGGGTGGGGGTGGGGTAGCAATACAGATGGAACAGGAGGGGCAGAGGTGGGTCCCTCAGCCTGTCCTCGGTCAGTTCTGTGGTTCCCCACGGTGGGGGTAGGAAAATAAAACTGAACGTGGACCAGAACGGCTTACCCCCAGAGTGTGAATTTTTCTAACGTTCATTTTCCAATAATTTCCCTATTCCCCGTTTCCCAAAACTCAGATGGTCCTCTGAACACGCATATGGAAATGAGGCTTCTCCCCCGGGAATCGGGGATGCTGAGTGAGACTGCTTCCTTTGTCTGGATGGTCTTTGGGAGATGAGCTCGCTCCTCACTTGGTATCACAGAGGTGGCGACCTGCCCTGCAAGAGACCGCTTCTCAGCAGGGCTGATTCTTCCCCATCAGTAGGAATTCTCGAAAAATACTCTAAACCAGGCATAACATCCTGGCTGAGGATGACTTAGACAAGGCAGCCTGACTGCACCTTTGGAATTCAATTCTCCTCATGATCCCCACCCCTCCAATTTCTTATGGACTAGACATTTTGAACTTTCTCAGAATTAGAAATGAAATAAGTCTGGCCAGGTGTGGTGGCTCACGCCTGTAATCCCAGCACTTTGGGAGACCAAGGTGGGCAGATCACCTGAGGTTAGGAGTTTGAGACCAGCCTGAACAACATGGAGAAACGCCGTCTCTACTGAAAATCCAAAATTAGACGGACGTGGGGGCACATGCCTGTAATCCCAGCTACTCGGGAGGCTGAGACAGGAGAATCGCTTGAACCCAGGAGGCAGAGGTCGCAGTGAGCCGAGATCGGGCCATTGCACTCCAGCCTGGGTGACAAGAGGGAAACTTCATCTCAAAGAAAAAAAATGAAGGAAAGAAATGAAATAAGCCGCGAGAGTGATAGGGGAGTAGGACAGATGGAGTGTAAAGAAGAAGACATTATATACTTTCTCTTTTCCCTTCCCCTGATTATACAAGAAATGTTTGCCATTTAAGAAAAGTTGGACTATGCAGAATAGAATAATACAGAAAAAAAAAATGTGCTGGAACATTCTATTCTATCTAACAAATCATGCAACCGGTGGGATGTATTTCTTTCCAGTCTTCTTGCCACACCTGTTACTTTCAAATGGTTGTGATCAGCATCTTACAAAAATTTGGGCTCCTTTTTCTTCTTTTTTGAGACTGAGTTTGGCTCTATCAGCCAGGCTGGAGTGCAGTGGTGATCTCGGCTCACTACAACCTCTGCCTCCCAGGTTCAAGTGATTCTCGTGCCTCCAACTCCCAAGCAACTGGGATTACAGGCATGTGCCACCATGCTTGGCTGATATTTGTAGTTTTAGTAGAGATGGGGTTTCACCATGTTGGCTAGGCTGGTCTGGAACTCCTGACCGCAGGCGATCAGCCCGCCTCGGCCTCCCAAAGTGCTGGGATAACAGGCGTGAGCCACCGTGCCCAGCCTAGGCTCTCTTTTTTCAATGTAACATTATAAAGTAAGGGTCTTATGTTAAAACATTTCAGTGGTGGCATAATAACTCTTTTTATAGATGTTGCCTAAATTATTTAGTCATCCCAACGTGGTTTGACATTGGATTGTTTCTCTTGTGTGCATTTGTGTATGTGGTTATAAGAAAGCTGTGATTAAGATGGAAAGAAAGGAAAATTCTTGTAAGTCAGGCTTGGTGTGCGCCTGACTTATTTCACCTTTGGAGGTTATCAGTGTTTGACCATTAGAGGGAGGCCACGCCAAAGTGAACAAGCAAACCACTAGCATGGGCCACAGCCACGGGGCACAGAGCGAGGGCAGGACACAGCCACGGGGCACAGAGCGAGGGCAGGACACAGCCACGGGGCACAGAGCGAGGGCAGGACACAGGAGACAAGGCCTGGACCCCCAGGGCTTGGTGAAAGGGCACAGCAGTAAATGAGGTACCCATCAGAGAAAGGTAGTTCTCCCCTGAGACCCCAAGCACTACTCACCAGTCACGCCCACGGTGGACACTGGGCCCACGCGCCGCCCCTCGTAGAGGCCGTACAGGTGCATCTTGTACTTGTGCCTGGGCTCCAGGCTCCCCACGGTGACCTCATTCTCCTCGCCCCCAACACGCACCACCTGGGGCCGCCCGTCCCTGTCCTTGTACTGCACAGTGAAGGAGTCGAAGTGGCCCTGGGGGACGGTCCAGGAGAGGCTCAGCGAGTCAGGGGAGGATCCTGTCACTGTCAGCTCCCCCAGGAG